AATGGAAAAACAAAATAAAAAGAAGTGAGTCATGGCCAACAAACACCCTTGTCTGCGATGGAGAAGAGTAAAATGGTACAATTTATGGTTTGTTTCGGGTTGTTATAGCGCTGGGTGTGCGTCGTTATGATTCATAACTAAACAAGAACAACCAAAGAACTTCTCGACAACATCCCCGGAAACAATTTGCGGCACACGAACACGAGGCGTTTACAAAAGTTTAATTTTACTCACTTTTTTGTGGACGGTGGTTTTTTTGTTGGCAAAAGGGAAATGTTCGGAAAAAACTTGAACACTTTTTGTTGATTCATTGGAAATTTACATGTAAAATGTATGGTCAAAATGTTGAATTTTCAGAGCTAAAATGCAGTCATTATGTTGTGGAATATTCACTTTGGTTTTATTGAGTTGTGCAAATACAATTTAGGTTGTTGGAAATAGGTGACAAAATTTTTAACAATTTAAAAAATTATCAGGAAAAATTTATGTTATTTTAAAGATCAGGACTATTGTTTCTTATTTTAAGATAAGTCTTGCAGAGATTTTAAATTAAGTCCGAAGAACAATACTTTGCTACAAAAAAGTCTTACTTATATATAATGCTTTTCTGAGAAAATATTACGCATACAGAATGTTTATTCAGGAATGACACACAAAATTAAGGATGATGATGTCTTCCCATATTAAATATACATATATTCAGTCCAATTTGGAGAGCTCCTCCATCACTAAATGCCCCACTGACACCCATCCATTATTGTTGCTTTTGCTGCCTACAAGACACATTTTCTCAAGCAGCTGTTGCTGCGTCTACTGCTTTTCACGTAAATTATAGCAAAAATTTAATTATTGCATTGGCCGTTCTACTTTACTTTGGCTTCGAGGACGAAGGATGTGCTGGGGCAGAGCCCAACTAACATAGTTCCTTAGCCGGAGGCAGCAACAAAAACGATTACAACAAAAGTTGTATGTCGAAAAGTACGCTACTAAAACAATTAGCAAGTCTCAGAGCGGGGCTATAATTAAAACAACAATGGAAAGTTTTGGAGGGAGAGGGGGGACAGGGGGGATAAGGGAGTCGGGGGACTTCCTTCTTATATGGGGCTGCCTTTGATTGATGATGCAAAAGCAGCTAAAGCCACGGCTGCCCCTTGAAGTATGCAACACATAAGCAACTTGCAAAGGCGTTGAAGGAACCCGCACTTTTGGTGGGCAGCAGGGGGTGAGGTGGGGGTGTGTTGCAGGTCCTGAGGGCCTTTGTTTTGTTTTTGACCCGCCAGCGACGGCAACAAACTATGCAGTGCCACAAACAACAACAAAAGGAATCGGTGGCACAACTTGAGAAAGCAAAGAGAAGTTGCAATACTCTTAACTATAGCAATGAAACTATATATTTTAAGCTATTTAAATTGCCAGAAAAAAACCTTTTCGTTATTGATTCCGAGTTTTGATAAATAGAAGAACAAAAACATAATATTTAACATAAATAATGTACCAATTTAGTTATTGTATACTCAAGAAAATATAAAAAAATTCAAAATAAAGCTTCCACTTAAAAATTGTACAAGAACACTAATAGTTTTTCTTAACAGAAAATTTTCGTATTATAACGTATTCCTAAAAAAATGGTTTTAATAAAAATAAATATTTGTAAATATAATATTCCTTATGTTCTATTATTTTAAATTTAAAGTATGCTTGCTAATAGGTTACAGTTAATACATAAACTGATACAAGTCCCTGTTGTTAAAAGAATTCTACGCTTCAAATTGGGACCTAAAAATATATGATCTTAATTTTTTTTTGATCTCCCATAGTTTTCTGTAATATGAAAAATTACCCAAAATTTGCTATTACTCAGATCCTCCATTAAATGGCATTACCCATTTCAGTTGTAGATGCCCGAGAGGTAGCCAAGCAAATGTGTGTTATTATATACATACACATGCCGCAAGAACCCAACTCTATATTCCTCTGTCTGCTAAAAGGAAAAGAAAATGTTTAAGGAAATTGCAGCAAATATTTTGCTTGTTAAGTGAAACCCAGTTTGGCGAAACGTTTTCCCAGCAATTTCTTCAGGCATTTCGACAACGTCTTGGCTCTTGGTCCTTGGTCCTTGGAGCCCCCGGACTGGATTTTAGTTGCTTACTCCAGAAAACCATCGCCCTTTTCCACCAGCCAGCACTATTTGATGCATTTTGCATAAGCGCTGGGCAAATGCCTTTGCTGCTTTTATGCAAATTTCTTGCATTTTCCATGTCGTTACATTCTTCGTCGTGTTTTAGTTTCGCCCGTAAATGCATGTATGCACATATATGTTTATATGCGAGTGCAACTTTCCTTGGCATGCAATTAAAACTAAATTAGTAGGCCTCTGGGCCATCTGGTCGGTTGCAATCGCTGCTGTTGGCAAATTTGCTCTGTTTACTAATTGAATTATTCAGCTGCAAGTTGCCAAAGTTCGTTGCCTTTTTTTTTTTTTGGTTTTTTGGTTGGGTGAGGATGTTCTGAAACAAACTGGAAAATGAAGCGTAATCAAAACAAAGGTCCCCATCCTCCATCCTCTCGTTCGAACCCTTTTTTTAGGTGTTGAACATCACCGCAGGGCACAAACCGCACAAGCCAACTTTGGTCCTGTTCGTGGTCCTTTCGCCTGGTCAGCAAAGATATGCACAAACAGGAGTAGCACCGGCCAAAAAAAAAAATTATGTCCACGGTTGAGCAACTTTCCGTTGTGAACACGCCCTCTTTTTTTATTTCGGGCAAACCCACATGCGACATTTAACCCTCGAATTGTGCTCAGCGGACACATTGAATGCTTACACTTGGTCACGAGTTGGGCTCCCTTTGCTTTGGGATTTGTTGTAGAAAATATGCAATAAAAAAGCGGTTTGCTAGGTGGTTTAGTAATATTAATAAATTTCGTCAGCAAAATGGGGTAAAGGATTTGGGAAACTAAGACTTATGTTACTATGTTATGTTACAGAAAAGGCAATAAAATGTTGTCTCCCTTAATAAATGAATCTCGTTCTGACTTTGCTTTAATGTTTATAATTTATATCTTATTATATTCTCCATTCATAATTCTATATTAAATCATGGGGACAAATTGCTAAGAAGTATTTAAAAATCAAGGGGTATCAAAAAGGCATTATTTCCATCAACTTTCTTTCGAAAATGTCTTCCCCTTTCATTTAGGTTTTCTTTTTTTTTTTTTTTGTACTCCCCCACTTTTTGGTATTCGGTTTTTTGTTATCGTTGCATGTTGATTTTTCGACTGCCATAACTCCCATTCACATTCACATTCCCCTTCCAAGTCCACTCTGGAGTTTTATTTTCATTTTCGTTGTTGAAATAACATTGACATGCCGTCTTGCTGGTTGACCCCTGGCAACCCCCTCCAATTTCGCCACCCATGCGGGGGTGGAAAGTTCTCCGGGCAGGACATGCAACACGTCTGCGCCATCCCCCTCGAATATTTCCTCTGAACTCCGATCCGAAATTCGATTTCCAGCTTGCGACTTTGGTGCAACGTCTGTTCGTTTTGTTGTTTTTCGCTCTGGATGACATGCAACTTTTGCACCGAGCTGTTTGTTGCTGTCGTTGTCGTGTTGCAATCGACAACAAACTGGAAGAGCAACAAATGTTGCCTTCGCTGGCTTTTATTAAATAACGTTTCAATATTCCAGCATTTTCTGACATATCAATTTTCACGCGGCGTGGCCTGCATAGATATATAAAGTCATGCACTGAGGGAAAATCAGTAAGAGAAGTTAACCAAACAACTGCAATATAAGCAAGGCAATACTATTATTTTTAAATTTAGCATATTTAGCATACATATACCCATTTAATAGGATTGAACTTGGTTTACTTCTTTTTATTTCATAAATAAATTTATATCCTCTTTGCAAAATAATAGTTTATTATATTCTCAGTGCAAGGCAAATATATTTATAGATTTCAGCAGCGATATGAATAAAGTTTTGCATCTTGTGCCGTTTGCCTTCGCCCCCTCTCTCTGATGGCGTGTGTTTGTGGGTGACAGCAAATTGTTTAGATATGGCATGAAAATTGAAATTTATGTCTTTGCTATTGACAGATTGCTAGCAGCAAATACTCGAGAGTTTTTCTGCGGTTAGCAAATAAAGATTGTGCGATAGCGCAAGTGTTCCTGAATGCTCGATTGGTCGATGGGGTGTTAAGCATTGAAAACAAGTGGGAAATGGATTTTCGGTCGATTGTGGAAGGGTGGAAATGTCGTACGGAAAGAACCGATCAATTTGTAAAATTTAGATTGGAAAATGGCGTGGAAATAGTATTTTATTTGTGGATTAACTTAGATTTGAAAATGGGAGAGATAAAATCGTAGCAAAAGTCATGCACTAGCTGCTTTAGCAACTTAAACACTTTATTTATATTCTTTTTCTTTGGAATTTAAATTTTCAAATAAAGTTCTTAGCTGAAAGGCAAGGGAATAACAAAAGACTATGCTAATCCCTGGCTTATCTAACCTATGAACCCAACCCTTTTCTACCTTTTCCACCCAGTTAATTTCCCAACGTTTGCATTATGCAAAACAAAACAAAAAGGGTAGAAATGCACAGAGAAAAAAACTACTTAGCTGCTAAGCTGCCCGGGTCCTTTGCCGCATATGCAAATCTAAACAAATTAATTCCAAACTGAGTCCTTTGAGCGGGCAGCACTCCGCCCCCCAATTTTTCCCCCCATTTGCTGCAGTTCCTGCTGCAACTTCATTTGCAACGTCAACGGCAATGCGCATTAACATTGTTTTCATTTGCCAGCGAGCGTTTTTCTTTTTTAATTTTTTCGTTTCTTTTCGCATTTGAGCAAACCGCTGACGATGATGACGCAGCGGAAAACGGAAGGCCCCGCATCCACAGTTCTCCATTTCCCCCATCCCAATCTCATGCAATTTTTTTATATATTCCACAATTCTTTTTAACGCCATATCTCCCGTTTGCCCAACTCTTTGCCAGGTTCCCATCCGCCGCGAATAGTGGAGCATCCCATAGATACGACAGTGCCACGACACGAGCCAGCCACGCTTAATTGCAAAGCCGAGGGCAGTCCCACGCCCACCATCCAGTGGTACAAGGACGGGGTGCCCCTGAAGATCCTGCCGGGCTCCCATCGCATCACCCTGCCGGCTGGCGGATTGTTTTTCCTCAAGGTAAGCCAGGGAAGATGGAAAATTGAAAAGGTTAAGTAGAGCCGGGGGAAAGTGGAAATAGGGATACGCTCTTAATAATACGACTTTATTTTTTACAAATTTAAAAAAAATTATACATTTATAATACATTAACAAATTCAAGAATTTTATAAAAAATTGTTTAGTGCTTTCCCTATTTAAAAATGTTGCAATCATTGATATGTTTATTAATTAATTTTTATAAAATAAATTAAGAATGTTTCAAGGTTTCTTACAATAAATTAAGGATAGATTACCTTGAAAAATTAAGAATATTGCATATGTATAATAGTAGTTCAAGAAATATAAATTCTATGAAATTTAATCTAATCTATAAATTCTTATTTCTTAAAGACAATATTTATTTAGCTGTTCATATTAAGTAATTAATTTTAAAATCATTTAACCAATTAGCTGCAACTAGCTGCCGTATACAATTTTAGATTCGTTAAGTTAGTTTTGTCTTTAACATACTACTTCCCTTTAAAGCAATGTATCCCTTCCTAGCCAAATGGCCTGCGGTGTATTGGCATTATATTCCCCAACTTGCATTATCTCCAGCAGTTCGCCCTGTTGTTTTATTTGCATGCATAATTATTATTTCAGTTCCATGCTTTCATTCATTATGAAAGAGACAATGCGAGCGGAGTAAAAGGAGAAATGCTGAAAGTTGCTTAAAAAATATTCATTTTGCCACGCCATCTGTTGAGTGATGAACAAACTAATTGCTTTTATTTTCTTTTAAGTCTCCTTTTGCCCGCTCTGCTTTTTCAGTTCGTATCATTTGGGGGCGAGTTGCAAAAATATTTTTGCAGAAAAAATGTTCGGTGGGCAACAACTTCATTAACGCAAGGTAAACAAACATTAAGCGGGGGAAAGTGCGGAAAAAGTGGGAGAGATTGGGAGAAAGGCGGGAACGTGAAGAGAAAGCGGCAGACAGACAAATAAAGACGTAACGGAAGCCGGCAGAAACGAAGCCAGCAAAAGTCAGCTGCAGCCTGATGAGCTCTGATTGTTTCGGGGGAAGGGAGGGGGGAACACTGAAAGAAATACATTACATTAATTTATATTTTAATTAATTAATTTTATTGTTGTACACATTTTTGTTTATTATTCTACTTTGAATTTTAAGGTTAAAATATATATTTTTAGAAGTAAAAATAAATAAATGAACAAAATATTTTTAAAAACCATTAAAAATAGAATACAAATATTTAAGATTTTAGCTAACGAAATTACATTTCATTGATTCCAAAACTGTGCATTCTAAGAATATTATTTTATTAATTTTGTTCTTTAAGGGTGATGTAATTTTTAAAGATTTTTCTCTCAGTGCAGCAAGTATGAGTGAGTGCTATGAGTGACTCCATTGGACTCTTCGCTGAGCTGAGCAGAGCACTCAGCAAATTTACGACGCAAAAAGCCAACGGGAGCCGCGTTGATTATGCTGATGATGCAGTTGGAATCGCAGTCTCAATTGCGTGGGGTGGGGATTTGGTCTGGGTGGGGGATGCAGGATTCAGGATTCAGGACTCGGAATTCAGGATTCAGAATTCAGGATCAGGAGACCGGGGACTCGGGGGCACTCTGAGCTTGCCACTTTTCACACTCGATCTGGCTGGGTGTCTGGTCGCTTATGGCACTGTATTTGTACTTGCCGCATGCCACTGTATTTGTTTATCACTTAAGTGCAAAAAGGGATTTGAGCATTTTCCTTCTGCCGTTGCCACTGGCATTTCCAGACTCCAGCTTCCGCTGATGCCTGCGAAATGTCTCTATGCCATCTTTTTTGTGGCGCTCTTCTAACGACTTTTAAATTAATTAATTCCACGGGTGTCCTGGCCCCACATCCTGCCATCTAATGTGTCCTTTGCCTTCGCTACTCTGGGTTTTATGGCGTTAGTGGTAGATGCACATTTCTGGGGGATTTCTTTGGATTTTATTTAATGCCAAGGGTAAGCACAAAGGGACGGAAGCTCTTTTAAATTATTTAGTCATTTTTATTTATGGGTGTTAAGTTTTTATTTAAAAGATAGTTAAAGTTTCGGTATCGTAAATTACAAATAATGAAAAACTCATTGATATAATTTTTATTATTTTAGTTTTAAATAAAAATGTAAAAATGTAAAGCCTATTTTAAATTTCAACCTCCTAAGGCCTGTTTCCCGACAAAATTTAATAACTTTATGGCCGGCCCCTGACCTATCTTTTTTTATGTTATTTACAACTGTTCCCGCATGAAAAACTCTGGGAAAAGTTCCGCCAACTCAACGCACAAATATATTTCACATCATTTCATTGCTCCCCAGAGGCATAATTTAAATTCTAATTCCGGCAGCTTTTCCCACTCCGCCAAAGAGGACAATCCATCTTACTTATAAGTGCCAGACCACTTCGAAGGCAACTTCAACCAGACATTATTGCTATAAGGACGAGTCCAGTATGCAACACTATCAAATGTGCCGACCAAACATGGAGAGAGATGAAAACCAAATCCCTCTTTAATTTCGGGGGAGAAAATAAAGTTTTCCTTGGCTTTTTTTCGGGGGCCTTTAAGTGCTGAAGGGGAAACAGAGTGGAGAAAAACGTACAAGCGAATAGGGAATATGTAATAAAATACAAAAGCATGTACAATGTGTATATTTGTGAGTGTAGGAGTTTTGGGCCAAAAAAAAAAAGGGAGCGCCAATCTAGAAGCGAAGTGAAAAGTGACAAGGAGGAGCGAGCGATGGGAAGACAGACAATAATTTACGTAACTGCACGACAGGAAAATAAGAGGAAAAACTGAATCGAAGGCAAGTAGACGTAGGGCAACGCACACTCTTGCATTCGAAACAAATGTCTGCGTGTGTGTCCAAGTGGGTGTGTAGATGTGAGCAGCACTTTCCACACATCATCTGCTGGAAAGGTCCTTAAAGCTGAGTTCGCAATGAAGTCACTCTTTCGGTCACGAATACCGCAAAAGGAGTTTATAGAAAAACATACAACTTATAATCAATTGTTTTTTTGTTTACTATTAATACCTCACAGTATCAGTTTTCAAGGTATCCATAAATATATATTATTTTCTTCATGGATATAAGGCTGTAATTTGTAAATAAGTCCTTTTGTGCAAAGCTAACAAGCTAAACTAATGATCCTGATCAATTTTCTTCTGATTTTGAAAAAAAATAAATTAGTTACATTTTTTCATTTTTTTAAGGGGTTAGGTCAGGTTTTTTTCCGAAATATGACTAAAAATAAAAAAATTTTTTCGTGGAATGCACATTTATTGGGAATTTTATTACGAGTTCAGCGCGGTATGACATTCCGAATTTGCACTATTATTTACATAACTATGGCCAAAATACTGCGTTTTTTAAGGCAAAAATCAAGATAAAGATATTTTGGTTAAGAAACCATTTTGTAGATGTTTTTTTATTAACTTGGCGAAATGGCGTCCAAGAAATATAATTTAATTTAAATGATATCTAACATAACCCATATTTTCCATGCACCAAAATAAATTCAAATTCCTTTTAGGGCAAACCATCTCCAATGCCGTTATGTGCAGAGACATCCTTCTTTTCCACGTCCTTGACTAAAGTTTCTCGAGCTTTGTATTTGCTCTGTCTGACTCTCAAGTGCTTGCATGCAAGTCTCTGCTTATATACATCCATCTCCTTGTTTGCCACACCATTTCCAAAGCTCTGGTCCACCCCCAACGTTTATTTAAATGTCTGCCACATTTGGCCATAGTTTCGACCCCCTTTCCCCAGCTTTGAAATACTTATCCTTCGCCAGCAGGAACTTTAAAAAGGCAATCAACTGGCGGAGGGCGGACAAATAAATCAAAGCGCGACTTTGGATCCAGGCTGATTGCATTTTCGAGGTGTGCGGCCCGAGAACGTCTTAATTAAAAAGCAGTCGGGGCTCAAAAGTTAACGCCTGTTTTCCCTTCGTCCTTTTGGCTGAAAATAACTTTATGCACTTCGCTGTACAGTGAGCACATTTTAATGAGTTTACAAACGCTCGACACATTCGCGGCCCCATAAAAAAACTCTCTCTATATATGCACATAAATAAATAAATACAGGGCTTAAGCCGGGTTGAGTGGAGACTTGGGAGTGAGTGGTGCTGGGACCAACACTGCGTATGAGTTATGTTTTTATGAACGGGGCGACGATTTTCCCATCAAGTTTTTTTTCCATGGGCCTCAGGGCTGTTTATTAACTAGAGGTGTGAGTGAAAAATGCTTTTGAGCCTCGTTTAATGAATGAGCGGAAGAAGGTGGCGGGGGAAAAGGGGAAATCAGGGCTTAAGAAATCCCCCTGGATGATTGAATTAGTAAAAGGAGCAGAGCAGAGGTTAAAATGAGAGGAAGAAGACGGATTTTTAATGAGGAGATTAACAGGAAAGTGGGGGTTAAGCTTGCATGCTGCAAGACTTATTAAAAGGAATAAACAAGAAGAGTACTTTTTTGTCTATGATTTTTTAATGGAGTTTTGGTTGTTTAAAATAAGGAATGAGAAGATATGAATATTGTACCCAAATATTCCAATTTATTTTTACTTCTTGGGAAAAGTTTTAAAAATACGTTATGTTATTTTGATAATAGATGGGAATTTATTTTTACTTAACTCACATATCGTTACATTTTTAATAAAATATAAAAAGGATCACAGCCTGTTGCTTTTACACCTGTTCCACTTTCAATGATGAAAGGGAAAGTGTTCTAACCAAAACTCTGCCCATTTAAACCGGCCTGCAGATTTGCCTAATTCCATTTCGTTTCAGACTCGTTTTCAGGCTCAATTAAAACCATTTACACGTCGCATTTTACACGAGCTTTAAAATTTAAACCAAATTATAAAACACTCAAGAGTTAGAGGGGGAAAAGCACGCACAAAAAAGCGAGAATCAGAGGGTGCGGGTGAGACGGGGACAGACAGGCCATCTCCCTCTGGCACACGCAGCAGACAATTACGAAATGTTACAACATGAAAACGGGAATGGCTCCCAAATGAAATGTTTGAAAATTTATGGGTATTTTAAATTAAAACGGAAGCGTGTTTTCAGCGCGCTCCTTTAGCAGACTCGCATACCAACACAGAGACACCGTGGCAGTCACACAGATACAGCCAATATATTTTATAGCTTCCCCCTTGTCACCTCGGAAAAGCGATTCCCCACCATAAAGTTGCACGTAGCACACGGCAAATATTTTCCCCAGCTGCTTTTCCTGCTGCTGCTGTATTTTTTGCTCTTTGGTGTCAAATCAGTTTCAATGTTTGCACGCACAACAAAAACAACTGCAGAACGGGGGAAATAATAACAACAATAAAAATAAGCTACCAATTCGCAGCGAATCGCCTGGCTCAAGTCATTAAAGATATAAATAAATTTATGTGACTTTTGGCAATGTTTTCTCCGTTTTCCTCCGTTGTATTCCAAATGTTTTTGCTCATTTTTTGGCTCAGAAAGGCAGTTACCTGCTAAATCCAAATTAAATTTTCAGACACGAAAAGGTGCAGTAAAGGAGTACAGTGCGTTTCAAAAGTGATAGGCAAGTGGCAAATGATTGAAAGATTGAAGATTACTGAAGGCTTATATATTCTTGAAACTAAAATTCTTAACAATATTAAACAAATTTTAATTAGAAAACCTTATTCAACCTTAACTTTCTGAAACGCAGCTTATATTTTTCTTATTCTTCAGATTCATTGTGTGCTCAACGGTTGCCATTGCACTATGGGGTTTTTGACCTGTTTTTGTGGCATTAATTAATAACTCGGTCAGTTTTGGAGATATCGACATGAAACTTTACCAATCGTCATTATTTGTCCCTAGGCACATATAGTGTGAAAATCGTTTGGATCAGGAAACAATATCCTATAGCTCCCATAGGAACGATCGGTTAAAACTAAAAAAAAATTAATGAAATTTAAAGAGCTGAAATTTGTTGGTCCATGCCTATAAAAGATGATGATAATAAGTGCAACAAAAGCAAAAAGAAAAATTTCGTCAAACTCAAAACTCATCGGCAGCCACGGTACATATCGACTAACAATTCGCCAGTTTGTAGGCAAAATGATTCGAATTTGTCCAAATTGACGGGCAACTGACAGGACAAACATTTAAAAATGATCCTCATATTATAAATAATTTGTTCATCAAACATTGTATAGCCTTTTCTTGCTCAAGCCGGCCTTCCCGCTATTCCAAACAGCAACCAAGTCGGCGTTGGAGAAAGTGAGGTTATCTAAGAAAAATTCAAATTGCACCAATAGTGCGGAAAAGTGCACAATAAGACTAACATATTTTTGCTCAGAATTGACAAGGCTACAACATACACTTGGACGCATTGAAAACTAATGCAAACTTCTATTTCAAAACTCTTCCCAAAGTTGAAATTTGTTCCTCAAAATTCAGCTGAAGGTGCATTTATAAAGTGACAAAATATTAGTATAAACACGCATAATTTAAACAATTAATACATTTAACATATAGTACAAGCCTGTGAGATCAGTTTACATTTGTTTTTTCTTTTCAAATGGTGTTTTACACGAATAAATTAATTTCAAAGAACGCCTTGAAAAAATTGCAAACTTAGCGCTGGTACTTTCGCATGCAACAGCTGACTTTACAGCTGTTATGCTAACATATGCTGTTAAGTATTAACATTTTGAGTATGAGGCATAACAGTTTGATGTTCTGTTAATGCATTCCCATTTTTTTTTTTTTAATTAGAGCACTTTTAAAAAATGACTAAATGCCACATAAAGTGGTCAAAAACCCCATAGTGCATTGCAACGAATTTTGCTTTAATTTTATTTGATACTGCTGCCCCAACTCCCTCGAAAGGATAGTGAGCTCGGCTCTTGGGATGAAGCCTTAGGTCCTCTTCCTTCCTTGCAATTCATTTCAATTTTTAATAGGAATCCGCCCTGTGCCTGGCTAATGAGCTTAGCTTCGGCTTACCTTTCCCGGGACCACGTTGCGTATGCTGAATATTCAGCTCGCCAGTTGATGATAGAGCAAAATGGATGGAAATGGGTCAGTGGTAATGGTTAGATTGAGTTGGTTAAGTTTCCACAGACGGCTTATCAAAGTTGACAAAGCCGGGTAAAAGTAAAAGTTCAGGCGGAAAGTATGGTTTGACTTTAATCTGACCTGATTTGAAAGCGAAGAGATGAAAAAAAACTGTTGCCTAGTTTTCAGGTGAAGTTGGCCATTTTTAAATTTATAGAGGAGAAGCGAAAAAACTTAGCCATCGCACTGTTAAACATAATTTCATGTTAATTTACTTTATTATAAAGCTTTAAGAACTACTTATAACTTAAATTATTTATTTTACATAAGTATTTTTTGTTTTTGGAAAACTGACAATGATTAAAATTAATATCTTGACAACAAATCAGCAACACAAAACTCAAATGTATATTTCTGTATCTGAAAAGCACATGCTGTTATCACTTAAAGATAAAAACAACTGTTTTTTGTTTTTCAAATAAATTTGTTTATTTATTTCAAAGGGGAATAGGGATTCCTGGGATTTTATATCATAACTTCAAGACCTAATAATAACTTAAGCAATGATAAATTATATTTTCTTTTGCTAAGCTGACAAGACTTTAACACAGTTTCTGCATGATAAATCAGCAACTCAAAGGATATCATATTAAATGTATCTAGTCGTGTATCTGTGCAATACATGTTGCTGTTACTTTGTGCTACGTAATCTTGTAGCCTTTGAGCAGTTCTATCTGTTGTTTTTGTTTTTCTCCACTCGGTCGTTGTTCTGTTCGCCTTTCCCCAGTAACCCGCACATATGAAGTATGACAATCGAGAAGCCTGAGGCGCCTACACTTATTTGTCCTGTAAAGCGCACCCGCGGCTCAGGACTCACGACATGTGTGTATACAGCTGGCGAGGGAAGATTAAATGAAAGAATAATACAGCTGAAGAACCCTTTTGTCATCTTCACTTAGCGCAACACTTAATTTCACTTGGATGAGGCACAAGTTGTGTAAATTGTGCGAACTTTGTTGTTCTCATTTTCTCCTGCTGCAAGGAGCAGATAAATATGGCACACACACACACACACTAAGTTTGACATTTAATTTTAAGCGCATGTTGGGGAATTCTTTTGTGCTCCGAAAAACAAATAAACAAACAGTGTAGACAACAAACACAAAAGGGGAGGGGCCCCCCACATGTAGTAACTATAAAGTTGCTCGAGAGACATTTTATGATTTGAGCACTTGAAGGCAGCAGACGCGCAACAGACAACAGATTGCCGTCTGTTTTATGGCCTCCAAGAGCCAAGGGGTTCGAGGAAGCCCTTCCTTTAAAGAAGCGAAGAAGCAGGTCCTGAAGAGCCAGCAAATCATCGTCTTAGGGAGCTCTGGCTTCTGTATTTTCCAGCTCTTTCCCAGTTGCCATTTGTGAAATTACAAATGGGGATGGATTTCCCAAGAAAAGCGAATAGGAAATACCCTTTTATAAGAAAGATATAAAATACTAAACGGCATTGCTGATTTAATCTCATACCCTGGGCGATAGACCATTCAATCAATTGTGGTTATTATATAAACATATTTTTCAAGCTTGCAAATAAGAAGTTTCGGGCTAGATTTCTTTAAAAGAAGTTCAAAATAAGTTACAGAAAAAAAGTTCAACTTTAATATGTTAATTTATTCAAGTAAAGCGATTACTATAATCAATGTATTCCCATTCATACCCGAGATAAAATCGTTTCCATTTACTAATAAAACTTGCTCATTTCAATTAAAATTACTCACAGTTTGCCCCCGGCTCTCGTTCACTTCTCAAGACCCCAACCAAACAATATTCCCCCATCTTGTCTTCAGTACTTAACTCATTCTTATGCCACCATGCTTTTTTTCCTTACATCTTTTTGCAGGTTGTCAATTCACGTCGCGAAACAGATGCCGGCATCTATTGGTGTGAGGCGAAGAACGAACTGGGCGTGGCAAGGAGTCGAAATGCCACGTTGCAAGTGGCGGGTAAGTCAACTTCAATTCAGAGTCCCCCAATGTCCTTACACTGAAAGAAACAGAAGCGACTTGACTGACCCAATATTTAAAGCCAAAGTTAATACAGCAATAACAATTTTAAAGGACATAAATGTATATCATTTTATAGATAATTTTTAAGAGTCAATCACAGATCTTATATAATTTGAATATAGAGTTTCTTTTTTTTTTGTCACCAGTTTATTTAGAAATAAAAAATCTCAGCTGAATACTGAATTTAATTCCTGTGTATCCCTCCCATGAAGCGTGTGGTGTGCGTTTTTAATATTCTAAATTGATGTTGATTTTTGCTGCTGTTGGTGATGTTCTTGTTGTTGTTGGTTTGTGGGTGGGAGGGGTGAGGAAACGGGCGTACTAGCTTTGCCCTTTTTCCAGCCAGCAGTCCAAAACACCCGCCCACTTAACTAACTAGCTGTGGAGCTGCTGCGTTTACAAGTTTTACGCTCGAACGCACCCACTTGTCTTGCCAGAGGTCTCTTGCCATCTCTCTTCTTCCCTCTGTTGCCGTCTCTTTCGACACGCTCTATTGCTGCCTCCATTAACCCGTTTTCATATCAGCTTTTCCTTTTTTTTTGGCCATTTTTTTGCCAGCTATTTTTTGGTTTTTGAAGCCTTTTTAGCCACGTCTGATGGCCTAAAATGTCGAAAAGGGTAAAAATATTTGTGTGTGTGCTGGATTTATTGGGCCATATGCCTAAAAAAAACAGTGGTTAGCAGTTTTCGAGTTGGGACAGGTCTCAAATGAGTTTTGATGGCCTATGTCATGGGTTTATGCGTGGCCAAACAGAGGGTGGATTTAATTTAAGACAGGCTTAAACATTGTAACTTTAAAACTTATTTTTAAGTCGAAATTAATATTCGTAAAATATTCAAAAATTCTTCTTCAACTAGAAGAATTTATATGAAAAGGAACTAAAAATAAATCAAGCATACGACGTGTTGTACAAACATTTACTCAATTTAAAATTCGAAACGATGTTTAAAACTTTCACTCTCAGATTTTAAATACCTCCAAAAAGTTAAAAATATTTTTTATGTAGAGCTCCCCAACAGATGCTATTAAATATGGAATTCGAGGAGCAGGGGTCCAAGTAGATCTTATCCCGATGCCACCCATATTCCGAGACCGCCACTTTGTCTTTTGTTGGCTAATATTTCTTTTATTTGCCTCTGCCTTTTCATTCCTGTATGTCTGTCTGTTTGTCCGCCCGGCTGTCATGTCCTGGATCTCCTCCCACATGAAAATCGATATTGCTCAGTGTGGAGTTTATTTTGCCTTCATGTTAGATTTCTTTTTTTTGTTGTACATATTCCGTTCTGCTCCTTTTCGAGTCTTGTTTAGGGCCTCAGCCCGAGTTGGGTTTGCTTTTTGCGGTATATCCTTGGGGAATATTTTTCAATATTTGCATGTAAATCACGAAAAGCACGTCAAATTTGTTTGCTTGGTTAAAACGTCGTTATTGCGGCTTGCGGTGTGGGTGAAACGCGGGGGAACTTGGCGAAGGCAAAAGGCGTTCACATTGATTGGGTTAGGCAATAAAAGAGCGAACTGCCAAAGGAAAAGGGAGCAGGAACAGGACCTCGAATCGTAGGCGGGCCCACTTGTTCACGTGCTTTTTCTCCGCTTTTTCCTGTGGTCGGGAGTTTGTCAATAGTAAACATAAGTTGCACATTGTGGGCATATAAGTACATACATTTGATGTTGTCAGCGCAATTTCGCTTTGAGCGCTATCAACACACACGAATCCTTTGACCTTATATTAAAGGACTCCCTTTTCTTGCGAGGGGATGATAGGTGGGCGGTGGATAGGAGCCACATGCTAAAAGGCAGGAATTAGAAAATTGTAGGGAAATTATTTCCGCCATTTTCGCAATCATATCTATAATTTGGGATAGGCCTTACTTTGTTGGATTATGGTTATTACAAGCTGACAAAGCGGCAAATAATTGAAGGTCCTCGATATTTTCCTCCAGTTATATAATTATAAAAGTGGCTTTAACGTTTAGCAAAAATATGTGAAGACAAATTGTCCTTCTTGGATTGAATTGATATCTAATTTTAAGTATAGGGTTATTCCAGTTCGAAAATCATAAGATTAATATTTAATAAGATCATTTTAAGACTTGTGTTCCATTGAAAAACAATTAATTCAAATTAAAGACCGATAAAGCCTTAAATTACAGTATTAAATTTAGCGATGGCCAATTACGTAATTAAAAGTAATCACCGCACAACTTCCCCTTAGTGTTTCTCAATTATGCCAGAACAGTCTGTTCATTAGCTTAAATTGATCACGTCGCTGGCTTGAAGTAGTTCCCATTTCTGGCATCCTATCATAAATCTCGCCATAAACACGAAAACACACATAATACGGGCATGATAAATATAGATAAACGGTCATTTATTAACTCATTATCAGCAGCTGTCCGAATCCAGCCGCTGAAAGCGATTTGCACCTTCGGAGCGGAGACTTTTCCGCCTTTCCGCTCCGGCGAATCCGTGACCCTTGACCCCACAGGAGGAATAACGCAGCCCACAAGGACGAGGCCTACACAACTTTTGCCCAATGGCACTGAACCTGACACTGATTATGACTTTGATTAATTTATTGATGGTTGGCGTGTTTCCTGCTGTTTGTGCCTGGCTTTTCCTTTTTTTTTGTGCTGGATCGAGTTTGGCACAGGGTTCTATTAAAAGTTTGCCACGACTTTAATGGGGTTGAAGTTGGTTTGCCTTCACGGAATCCTCTGATTCACGCTGATTTATTACGCTTCAACTTTAAATTTAATAAAAGTCATGGTTTTAGCACATTTTTGCATAACCAAGACAGCAAAACTAAACCAAAGCAAAAACGAAATCTCAACCGAAAAAAAAGCTCCCTCAAAAAGTAAAAAAATTCGCTTATTCACTTTGTAGATTAAAAAAAAAAGGAAAGCGAAATTTAATTTACGTAAAAGCTGCTTTCGCTATGGATTTATTCGTTGAATATCCATGCTCACATATATATATATACTATATACTATATTTTTTCGTTGCACAAAAGGTAGCTTTTGAGGGCAAACGAGAAGGGCCGAAAAAAGTGGAGAAATTTACTTGGGTACGCTTTTCAAGCGCTTGAAAGTTGCTTGATTTATTACACCAGCGTTGAGCTGCCTTCCACTGCCATTTCTCCCCAGAACTTCTTTCTGTGATATGCACACAGGACAAATAGAGCTCTGAGGTGTGTGCAAATTACAGCATTCCCCTCTGACCATGCCCACAAAGGACGACAAGAGGCAGAACCAGCTGAATTATCCTGCTGCCCTACGCTTTTGTCGCTCCAAATCTGCGACTGCAAAAGCAAAATGTTGATAATACTCTGATTTACAATGCAAAAGGCGGATGATAAAATAGAGGGCTTTGGAATTGCGTTTTCAGAATAAATGCAGCCGGGCAGATTGGTGCAGAAAAAATGTCGAAAGTATGAGCAACAAAAACTGAAAGAGATTTTATAGTAAGAAATATTCTTTCAAGGCGCACTTTTACTACTCCTAAAGTGATTACTTTGGCATCTATGATGATGTTTAATGTAGACACATTGTTAGACATTCAACGTTCATAGTTGGTTATTGGATTTTTATAACTTAGATTAAAAGTAAGTACTTATTATTCTGATAATGTGATAAATACGAATTTATTATAAATTCAAATATTTTAATAATACATCTAATGACCTCAAATCCGATAAAGTTCTACAAGCGTATTTTCTGTGGATATAAATATGCAACAATGAGATTTTGAGCAGCTTTTTGGAGCGTGACAGGTGACTTAATAAATCAAATAAATTCAAAAATATTTGTTAGTATCCAATCAATATCGAACATAATTGAATTAGCCTGAAAGCTGCGTAGAAATCGTTGAACCTGATGGAATTTTTTACAAATTAGGAGGCCATCTTTCTCCTTTTCTCTGTGGCGTATAAAAATCACATTTATGCCATTTACCAAGAATTTATCTTTGCTGTCAGGCCGCAAACATTCGCTCACACGTGGAGAAAGTGGAATGGCCACAGGTCAGGACAAAGGAAAAAAGACAGAGACGTGGGGCATTTATCATGCAAGAACCCCCAGATAATTTATAACCACCAACAAATGGACAGGGGCCAGTCAGGCCACACACAAAACCCACACACAGACACACACTCTCCGTAATAATCATTTGCTCATCTTTCAACCGACTTTCTCCCCACTTTCCCCACTTTCTCCCATCTCCGCTTGCAGTTCTCCGCGATGAGTTTCGCCTAGAGCCGCAGAACACACGGATCGCCCAGGGCGATACCGCCCTCCTCGAGTGCGCCGCACCTCGGGGAATCCCCGAGCCCACAGTCACCTGGAAGAAGGGCGGACAGAAATTGGATTTGGAGGGCTCGAAGCGAGTACGCATCGTTGACGGCGGCAATTTGGCCATCCAGGATGCCCGGCAGACTGACGAGGGTCAATACCAGTGCATAGCCAAGAATCCCGTCGGGGTGCGCGAGTCCTCGCTGGCCACTCTCAAAGTGCACGGTAAGCTCTTAACCCATTCCAGGGCAGTGTGCTGTATTTGCCCCTTTTTAAAAAGTTAAAAATAAATATAGTTTTAATAGGAGCATTCAAAAATTGTTTCTCCCTTTAAATATTAAGATTGTATGTTAATGTATTTAAGAGTTGATCTATTTCTTAAATTTAAAATTGCCAATCATTTAGGCATGACATTCTGATGAAATATAAGTGTTTTTTAACTACTCAAACTAAAAGATAGGTTAACAAAAATTTTAAAAAAATGTTATGTATAAATTTTAGAATTTTCCCAATAAAGATAAAACAAAAATAATATATTTTCGTTAGCTGAAATTCAGTTTTCAATATTTAAATTAGTTACCAATTTATTATTCCCCTTTTTAAGAAACCCCATGCCCTTTCTAGGGTTAATGGTTAGAAAAAGGCCCTTAGCCGCCACCCAATCCAAGCCCCTCCAATCAATGTGTCATGTCCAATTTGCCGGAATGTGACTAGGGTTGGGTCTGAGTTAGGAGGTCTTATTGGTTTGAGGTTTTTTGATTAAATTGCCGCTTATCATTTCCCATGTTGGCTATTTCCATTGCAGTCAAGCCGTACATCATCCGTGGGCCACACGATCAAACGGTTTTGGAGGGAGCCTCGGTGACCTTTCCCTGTCGAGTGGGTGGTGACCCCATGCCGGACGTGCTGTGGCTGCGAACTGCCTCTGGTGGTAATATGCCATTGGGTAAGTTAAGACAATACCTTCCCCTTAAAATAATACAAAAATAAGAAACAGCAATTATAATTTATATAATTAAATGTTATATATTTTCCTTTAAAGATCGCGTGAGTGTCCTGGAAGATCGAAGCCTAAGACTAGAAAGGGTCACCATTGCCGATGAGGGTGAATACAGTTGTGAGGCGGACAATATTGTGGGTGCTATTACGGCCATGGGCACTCTAACTGTTTACGGTAAGTCTGGTTGGGAAAACCCAATAACCTGATTATAGAAAACCGCTAGTTGGGCACTTTTAGCTAATTAGTCTACCCATACTCCTACTCCCCGCACTCACACTGTAGCCCCCCCGAAATTCATCCAACGTCCTGCGAGCAAATCCGTGGAACTGGGCGCCGATACATCGTTCGAATGTCGAGCTACTGGCAACCCGAAGCCAACCATCTTTTGGACCATCAAGAACAACAGCACCCTGATATTTCCTGGAGCCCCGCCCTTGGATCGATTTCATAGTTTAAACACCGAAGAAGGTCACTCGATACTTACATTAACCAGATTCCAAAGAACGGACAAGGATCTGGTGATACTGTGCAATGCCATGAACGAAGTGGCCAGCATTACGTCGAGGGTGCAACTGAGTTTGGACTCGCAAGAGGACCGTCCACCACCCATAATAATCTCGGGTCCTGTGAACCAAACACTGCCCATTAAATCACTGGCAACACTCCAGTGCAAGGCAATAGGTCTGCCAAGTCCAACGATATCGTGGTATCGCGATGGCATACCAGTGCAACCCAGTTCCAAGTTGAACATAACAACATCCGGGGATTTGATAATATCAGACCTGGATCGTCAACAGGATCAGGGTTTGTACACATGTGTGGCCAGTTCACGGGCTGGAAAGTCCACTTGGAGTGGCTTCCTCAGGATAGAGCTGCCCACCAATCCGAATATAAAATTCTACAGAGCCCCGGAGCAGAATAAATGCCCCACGGCACCGGGACAACCGAAAGTTCTGAATGCCACTGTTTCGGCCTTGACAATTGTTTGGCCCACAAGTGACAAAGCGGGAGCCTCATCGTTTCTGGGTTATAGTGTGGAAATGTACTGTACGAATCAGAGCAAAACTTGGATACCCATTGCATCGCGATTAAGTGAACCAATCTTTACCGTCGAGAGTTTAACCCAGGGAGCAGCCTATATGTTCATAGTTCGTGCGGAAAACTCCCTGGGTTTTTCACCACCCTCTCCCATTTCGGAACCCATAACGGCGGGAAAACTTGTGGGCGCTCGGGATGGTAGTGAAAACTCTGGAACCTCACAGCTACTTCTCAGCGATGTGGAAACCCTACTCCAGGCCAACGATGTCGTGGAATTACTGGAGGTGAATGCCAGTGACTCCACAACCGCCCGACTTTCTTGGGACATAGACAGCGGCCAGTACATCGAGGGTTTCTACCTGTATGCCCGCGAACTTCACTCCACCGAATACAAAATGGTGACCCTACTGAACAAGGGTCAAGGACTCAGCTCCTGTACGGTGCCTGGATTGGCAAAAGCCTCTACATACGAGTTTTTTCTTGTGCCATTTTACAAGAGCATCGTAGGCAAGCCCTCGAATTCGCGACGCGTGAGAACCTTGGAAGATGGTAAGGGTCTAGTTCTACCATCCTCTTCTAATCATTTAGTTATATTTCTTTAAATATATTACTTTTTGGTTTATTGTAGATTATTTTCTTAGCTTATAGGTAATAATTTGGCTTTAATTTCGTTCACAGTTCCAGAGGCGCCACCTTATGGCATGGAGGCCATCCAATTCAATCGCACCTCGGTCTTTTTGAAATGGTTACCACCGCAACCCAACCGGACTCGAAATGGTAAATACATTTTAATTTGTCGATTGAAAACTTTTTACAATACATTGATGAAAAGTTTATTAGTTAGTAAGAATACTGTTGGTTATAATACAATATACACTACAATCTATTTTTGTGACTATGAAAGGGTACAGAGTTTAAATTCATTGAGTGTTTTAAAAAACATGTTTTCATGATTAAATATTTTAAAATATAAATTTTTATTTACAAAGAATATCTTTCTGAAAGTGATAAGTACTTTGTTAAAGCCCTTCCTATTTTGATAGTCACTGAAAAAATCATTTAGATAGTCTGTGATAGACCCACTGCTGATTCCCCAGAGATTGCCGATTCCCTCATAATTTAACCCTCTGTCAGTGCCTTTGTGCAAATACCTCAACTAGAGCAGCTCGATGCGGATGAATTCCCAGCTCTTTTGTTTACATTTAATTTCATTTTCTCTCTGTCCAACCGCCCGAAAATCTCCACCGAACAGGCATCCTCACCAGCTACAATGTGGTCGTCAAAGGCCTGGACGTGCACAATACGACGCGGATATTCAAAAATATGACCATAGATGCGGCCACGCCCACTCTGCTCCTGGCCAACCTCACCACAGGAGTCACCTACTATATCGCAGTGGCGGCTGCCACGAGGGTGGGAGTCGGACCCTTCAGCAAGCCCGCCGTCCTCCGCATCGATGCACGCACCCAGTCCCTGGACACCGGCTACACGAGGTGAGTGGAATGCACTGGGAGAAAAAATATGCACATCCGACTCTTGGAAAATTTATTTAAATTTTAAAAACCTATTTTTACATATTTTGTAAATACGATTTATATACATATTTACTTATAAAATTTAAGCCATCTATAAAACTTTCTTTGATTATTGGTCTCTTGATCTTGAAAAAAAGTTAAATTAAATATTTTCCCTTTTAACGTAAGTCCTAATGCTCCCAAGTGTTTCATTTCAAATTTTTGTTTCATAAATTGTAAAAATAGTTAAACTTGAATTAATATTCAAAAATGTCTGTTTTGTTTATTATGTGGTATTATTTTGAAAATTAATAGAATATTATTTAAAGCCCAACATTTTGCAAAGTGTAACTCCCTTTTGTGTGGGCGTTGGTGTCGGGCATTGTGGAGCTGCTCATTTGACTGCCAAGTGTCGCATCGAGGTCCACATCAATCCATTAACGGCCAACGACAATGGCCAACGACTTTTGCGACCATTAAACTAAGCCTCCACCCGGGCACGTAGCTAGCTCCATCCTCCGATGGCCGTTCTCATCCGGGCTCTTTATTGTGTTGTCTATTGCAGATATCCCATCAGTCGTGATATTGCCGATGACTTTTTAACACAGACCTGGTTTATCGTCCTGCTGGGCTCCATCATTGCCATAATTGTGTTTCTATTGGGCGCATTGGTTCTATTCAAGCGCTATCAATTTATCAAGCAGACCTCGCTGGGCAGTTTACATGGTGAGTGAACTTTAATTTAAATTTATTCTTATTCTCCTCTTTGTGCAGTTCTTTTTCGGGGGAAGCCCGGTAATTGCTTGTTCTTTTTTGTGTAAGGATTTATGGGTAAATTGAGGTTCAGCAATGGGGGATAATGCTAATAACATTTAAGGTTTAAGAAGCTTAAATACTGGGTAGAATAAGCAGAGATTGAAAGTCAGGAAATGAATGTGTAAATTTAAAATGGTATTAAATTCATATAACTTAAAAGGGTAAATAGCACAATCTCCCGAATTTATTTTCCTGCATTTTACCACTCTGCCACTCCATGTGGAAGTACTCCCCACTTTTATAGAACAATCTCCATTCCAGTCCGGGACATGCAAGCATTTTGCTCCAGCTCCTCCTCTCCGTAATCTATGATTTATGACTTGAGCATTTATGGCCGGTCTCAATTAGGTTGCCATTTTGTAAGCCACAATAACTGCAGACATCGAGACACGCACTCATAACATTGTAAAGACTCGAGGAACCAAAAACCGAGGGTAATAATCTTTGGCAGTAAGCCACAGCGCCAAGGTTAAACCGACTATAAAAAGATAAACAAGCCACGATAACTAGAGCAGAAGTGGGGGTCTCTTTGGGGTAGGAAAAACACAGTGGAGTGGGGGCTATGTATAGTATATAAAAACGACAAATGCTCACGTGAAAATCACATCAATTGTCTGGCTGGAGAACTCTATACTGATATACTGATATAATGAAAAGACTTGAGGATAAACAAACAATTAAGGGACTAATAGACTTAAGGGAAACAATTCAGTCACACTTATAGAGTGGACAGTATTTACGGACAGTTTTAACGGACAGTTTTAAAGGACAAACTCTCGAAAAAGACTAACGGACAAAGTACAACACATACGGATAGCAGAATCGTGTTATAGACAGACTAAACATACCCATCAACTTTAACAACTAGAGGGCATTTACAATCCGGTTGGAAAAGGGCGTGCAAAAGCTTTTGCCAATTGAATATAAAAAGTAATTTCCGTCTTTTATTATTTGCACGTTACTCCGGTGGCTGAGCGAGAAAACCCCGGGCAGTTGGAGTTCTCCGTTTTAGTTTTAACGAGCCGTAATCATTGCCAGCCCACACATTGAAGCCATTTCGATATATTCAGTCTCCCGTATACATTTTTTATTTCAGGCAATCACGCAATCGGAACCGTGCGAAAGTTTCCAACATTGCCGCTAAATGGAGGCGGAGCCGTCGGTGCCGTTGGCTCAAATTCGACAGCCGCCAACGGTCCCAATGGCCTGTGGATCGATCCCACCGGCGGGGTTTGGCGACAGGGAGCGGGTTCGGGAAATGGGAACCCAGGTGGAGCAGGGCCGAATGGCACATGTACGACAAAGGAGCAACTTCCGGGATACGCACAGGCCACCGCCCAACAGGGACCACAGCCCACCCTGCTGCCCGATTACGAGAGGTGAGTCTCCCCGGGTTGTTTATCTGCTCAGGAAGTTGCCTTAATATCCTGTCCACGCCTCGCTGACTGTTTAATTACAATAAAAAATTGGCAAGCAGTGGAGTTGCATTGGTGCAGGGAAAGGGGGTATGGATTGGAGGTGTACGTAGATAGACAACTACACTTAGGGAAAGCACTTACAAATGTTTGAAATATAAGGAAATGTTGGTTTGAAATCATCCATATATACAACCATATATTTTGAATCAGTACGATTCATAAAAATCCCAGTATTCACTTTCTTTTTTTGCAGTCGATTTTATAATTTATTTTGTAAATTGATGAGATTATATTAACATCTAAATTTTTTCTTTTAAACAGTCAGATTTATGAGTGGCATTAGTTTTGGTACGATTTTATGCGACATGCTAAAAACACATCTCAGATTTTTTGATTTTACAAACAACAAAAATGGCATTTAAGATATTTCACAATCAGATCAGATTTTATAAATCAAAAACTTATAAACTTAGAAATCAGATTATGTAAAATAGGCCCTATATTATATATTAAGAAAACTAGCAGAAAAAAAATGACATCCAATTTATAATCTTAAACTTGAATTCATAAATTTAGTACATGCATTTTTAGTACATTCTTTTAATGTACATTTTCTCCCGGTGTAACAACAAAAGGAGTTCTTTGCTGTAAGTAAAAGATCCATTCCACTATTTACGAGCCCGGGTCGTAAAAAATATTTTGTGGAGCTGCAACCGCTGCCTCCATAAAGATTCCCCAGCCAAAAAACCGAGTCACCCTCGAATGGAAAACCCTCTTCCCCATCGAAAGAAAAGCACCGCAGCAACAACAAACGCCATTAAATTGTTACACTCGAACGGGTTTTACTTTGGGCCATGGTAACTTACCACGACCTCGAACTGTTTACTTTGGCAGGAGGTTTTTCACTGCAGCCGTTATTTAATTTCCATATACGCAATTCATTCATATTTCCTCGGGCTGTTTATCTTTTGGCTGCTGTTTTATTTTTGTTTGGGGGTTTCCTTTAAAGGCTAATGAATTTTCCTGCGCGAGAAATGCATTTCAGTCGGACGCATTTGTTAATCTTTCTTAATGTGTGTTAAATGAAAGGAAATTATTGTTACAGTTCAATAAATATAGTTTTTATTTAGGTTTGTATAGCTATAAAATAATTTGTTAAATATCTTTCGTATTTTAACACTCATTTTACCTTTTCACAACTTTTAAGAACACTTTGAAAAGCTGGCTTATGTACCTAAGCTCTTTGTCATCGTAAAATCAATAATGACCTGTTTAATACGGAAATATGGCCCCAAATTTGTCAACCTCTAACAATGTCCAAGTGGATTAATCTGACAGTGGATTCTCCGAAACTCTGAAACTTTTCAATCCCAATATCAAATTGTGACTTTCAGCTAAATAAATCTTTCTCAGTTTGTCAAATGATTCTTGGAACTGCTGAAGAAAGTTTTCTCAAGCTAAAAAAAACTCTCTTTTAATCGCTTTAATTCCATTGAGCCTAATCCCAGGACCATGTACTTTCCATTCCTTCTCCACTTTTCTTTTCACTTCTTACTTTGGAATTTATATGGAAAAACAAATTTTCTTTTGTGCTTTTCTTACTTTTCCTTAAAGCTTAATGTACCGTTGCGGCAAACAATAATAAAACAAAAGCAGTAATGCAAAAAATAAAACAAAAATCCAAACAAGAGGCAATAAAAAAGTGGCAACTGCTGGCGACATATTGCTGTCCTTTTCTTTTTACACCTGTCTCACTCTTTTAAGCCGGAAAAACTTTTGCGTATTTATTTGCGGCATTTTACGCATTTATTTGTTTAGACTTCCCTTCTGCGTTCCTCGAATACAATATACGCCCACCTTTAACCCCCACCCACTCGCTTTCCACTTCACTTACAATTTGGAACATTTCCTACCACCCTCGCATAGCTTTCCACCACTCCCCCCCTGAAAATACCGTTGCCACTTCCGTTACGCGATTTTCATTATTTCCGTTTCAATTTTTCCGTTGTATTCCTTCGAACCGAACTTTTCCTTTTGCTGCTCACTTTTAACAACATTGTAAAGTCGTAAAAAGTATAATGTAAGCGCTGGAATAACCAAAACAGGATCTTCTTTTATTTCCCTTGTTTACATAAACACCCCCACTCCATTTTCTCCTGTTGAAACACGTGCGAGCTGCGTCATTACCTAAAATTTCCAATTAAAATATTTAATTTCTTTCGCGGCTTGTTGTCTGATTCGAGGAGTTCTTAACAACCAACCCCAAAGGAAAAACGCAATTTTCACCGCTAAATTAACAATTAAAAATTGATAGTCCTCGGGGAAGGAACGCAAACTCTTCAGATCTGCATATTTTCATATTCCCCGAGTGTCCTTAAGGCCACAGCTTAATAGCTGGAAAAATTCAAATTACTTGACATATTCTCAGGCGTCTTTCGGAATGTGTTTTATAATTGGGTCAACGGTATTGGTTTAAGTTTGATAAGGCTTTCAAATTTTTGGAAAGCTAAGAGCAATTGTAATTAACAAAAAGATTAAAATCGATTGAGAAGTCAGAAGATTTTTTTCTAACATTAAAATTATATTATATGATTATTATTAGATTACTTTTAATAAAAATCAAAAAACTCTGTTTCTCTTGAGAAAAAAAAGTTGGCTTTAAAAATAAAATCTCTACATCCTCGTTAGTTTCTTAACTATCCAAACCACCATGAAATTGCCAAAACTATTCGCATTTTCTGCACCCACCACCTCCATTTCAGTACATTTTTACGAGAACTCATTGGGAAAAAGCAAAGCGATAGATAAGCATTATCTCATTAGCTAATTAGTGTGCAAAAATTTGAGCAATAAAAAAGTTTTGCTCGCTTTCAGACGGGAACGTTAATTTTTTGTGTTGCCAGCAACTCGCATGGATAAAAGTTTGATTTGAATGGGAGTCCGGTATTTTCCAGCTCCCCCCGTTTGCTTCCTTTTCGTCCTTTCTGTACTCCTCCATTTCCGGCTTTGCCCCATTTGAATTCCTGTACCTCCTGCAGTACTCACTCTAATTACAAAGTTGAAATGCTAATGGGGAGAATTTTTGTATTGTATTTGCCATATTTAACCAAATTGCAATTGCTACGGTTGAGGAATTGGTGGGGCATTCACAGGGAAATTGCAACAACATTTTTAATGAGTAGGTGTGAGTGGGGAACAATTTCCGGAGCTGCATTCACTGCCTAACAAAAGCAATTTCCTCCCATCAACAACAACATCATCGAATGATTTATGAAATCGTTGATGTGAGCCCCAGACAAGCATAAATTTGCAGAAAATTATTTACACTTAAACCAAATTTTGAATTTATCTTTAAGAGTTTAAAAATAAATATAAATAGGTGAATAATATTTTTAAAATCCTTCACTTAATTTAGTTTTATTGCTTTAGAATTTATAAAAATAAATAATGTGTCACAAGATAAAATGGCAAGTGGTTATTGGTAAATGCACAGTCATAAACACACTTTGATTTTAACTCATATCATTCAAATTGAATAGCTTAATTTGATATCTTAAAATAAGTCAACAATTATTGTAATAATAATATAATAATTAAAATCCAAAAATAATTGTACAGGGGTGGTAAAAGAAAATAGAGAAGCATTAGGCTTACAATGTAAATCTTAATGATAATCTTAATGACTTAACAATTAAAATAATTAAGTCTACTTTTAAAAATGTATGTTAAACTTTATCCGAAGTGCATTGAATACTCTATTAATACGCTCACTCTCATTTCCGATCGCAATCAATTTTTAACTGTTGTTTTTCCTCCTCCTCCACTCCAATTCCAGACTGTCGCCGCTGAATATGCCGGATTACGCGGAGGTCGCCTGCTCCACATTCAAGAGTCCCACCCACGGAGCACCCGCGATGGGAGTGGGTGGTGGTGTGGGTGGTGGCCAGTCGGCATCGCTGTATGACAGCTGCGGGGCCTATGCCACCACCAATGTGGTGGCCAATGTCAAGCTCTACCAGAATCGATATGCGACAAAGCCCGGCCAAAACGGCAGCAGCAATAACAACAATCACCAGAGCAATGACTACCAATCGACGGGGATGTATTCGGCACCGCCAAGTGCCCATTATGGATGCCTGGAACAGAAGCAGCAGCAACAGCAACCCAATCTGATGACAACTTCAACGGCCAGTACGGCCATTCTGACGGCCTCTCCTGCAAAAGCGAAAAAGATCAACATAACCGAGAACAAGATGGATCAATTGGAGGGCAAGTCGGAGCGGACGAATCCGTTCAACCAGCAGCAGCAGCTGCTCCTGGCCAGCAATGCCCTGAAACAGGGACTGGGTGCGTATGCCAACACCACTCTGGCGGCCCAAATGGCCAGTGGCGGTGGAGCGGGAACCCTGAGGCGCCAACGTCAGCCCAAGACGCTCTACAAAAGCGAGAATAATATACTGGGAAAATCCGGTCTGAGGCAGGGAAACATGAATGCGAATGCTAATGGTTGCAGCAACGGGACCATGGACTTTCTAACCGGAGGACCGCCCTCGGAAAATGGGGACTTCTCTGGACTGGGTCTGTGCAACTCCACCAATCAACTGCTTAATGATTGGGCCTCCAGTGCCTCGATCGCCGCTCCCGGGGACTATCATTTTGGCAGCAAGCAGCCCAGCAAACAGCATCTGTATGTGAAGGCCAAGGATGGGACTTGGTCGGCGGTCAGCTCGGATGCCTACCAATCCTTCAAGCACCAACAGCAACATCATCCATTCCTGGCCGGATCAGGTGACAACAATAAGTCCTTAGCTAGTGTAAACAGCTTAGCTGGCGATAGCAAATTCCTGAGTAGTTTTGGCACTAGCGCCAATGTCTAGGCCATGGCTTAGAAATCAACTTTGAAGCTTGGGTCAATAGAAAGTTGCTCAATAAGTTAGAGGATGGTATTATGGAGATAAGTTGTAGGCATATATCAGTTGGCAGGAGGAAGTTGGGTTGTGGAATGTTGTGAGGGTTAATGGGAGGGGTTTCTTATTCATTCCTTTAAATATAATATATATTCCCCTTATCAATTGATAAAAAAATCTATAGAACAAGCTCTGTAATTGAGTGGTAATGACAATTTCAAAAATATTCAGTACTCTAGATTCCTATAGATCAACGTTTATTAATTCTAGAACTCCTTCTCTTCTCACCTTTAAAAACCTACCCATAGCTCTCGTAGACTTCCACCAAGTTTATCTGTAAGTTGACCCTGTGAAAACCAGAAGATAATCCCCCAAACCAAAAACAACAACGAAATGTATGTAAAGAAATACAGAAAACCCCGGAAAGATTGGCTTGTAAATATAATTGCCCTTACTTTACCCTATATATAAAGACCTTAACCCCTAAAGCATTTAGAATATTGCATTTGGAAGAAGCAAAATATAATATTTATTGACACCAGAAACCAGAAACCGACTCAAAATAGCACAGAAGTAGTTAAAGTAAGTACAGCAAGTAAAATCTTCAAGAGTTTGTAGCAAAACACCAAGAACTTTTGCAGAAAGTGTTCCCACAGAAAAGAAAAACCAATGTTAAAGCCAAACGAGAATACCCAACCCTAACGAGAATATATTACTTAGAGTTACAAAAAACAAAGCACGATGTAATTAGTTGTGTGTTGGAAAAATAATGAAAACTCACCTCCCGCAAAAAAAGCTAAACAAATGCTAATAATAAGGCTGTTAAATGTAAAATATCATAAATGATTCAAGAATGAATGACTAAATCTACATTTAAACCATGTAATTAAAGCATTAAAATGTAATTTACTGACACTAGATTTAGTTTGAATAGCTAAAAAAAAGAAAACTGAAAAGAGAGAGAAAGCGAAAGTGGAGGGATTACAGCAAATAAGAGGATTTAGCTGAAAAAGAGAAAATAAATTAAACTAATCAATTAATTGATAAATTATGCAATGAGAAAACCTAAAAATAAAGAGAAAAAATATGAAAAGCAAACTATACCAGACCAAATGCAGTGCGTTTCGTAATATTAAGGTATATTTTTTAATTATTACGAAGCGCACTGTATATATGCTATACATTTTTTAAGCAGGCTATAAAAGAGGGTTTGTAATATTTTTCTAGTTTATTGTTTTAATTATATTGATTTTAATAATTTTTTTATAAGTTGCTTATACCACATTTTGTTACATATTTTATCCACTTTAAATATAGAGCTGTTTATTCACATAGTCTTAGCTAGATAAAAGCTTCTAGTTTAAACGAACCTCAAAATCCCAAACTCAAGCTTTTCCTAACATCCAAATTATAGTTATGAATTGTACCTTTTTAAGCCACACTGCTGAATTTTTGTGGGAAAATCCCGCTCTAATGTGTGCGCCAATTTTCCATTTCAGCAAGGACCATTTGGCGTCGACACAGTTGTGCCTACATGGTTTTGGACAATTCGATGGATTTTGTGATTTGAATTCATTTGCTGTGCGTGGGTGGAAAATGCAGGTAAACCCAACTATTCTGCGGCCTGCCCACAAAACTTTCGACTGATTCCCGGGGAGCGGCAGAAATTCCATCGCGAGCAGCTAATTAATTATGCACTTTGTCCGGTTGTCCCGAAACACAATTTGTCCTACAAAATCATTAATGTAGGGATCCCTAATGAGACATTGTCTTTTTCCACTGGAACCACTGCAATTCCCATTCGTTAACTATAAAACGTTCGCATTTGCAAATTCATGATAAACAAAATTATTTCAGTTTCCTGACCATTTTTGTTTATCATTGATTTTTTGTTGCTCGTTTTTGAATTACAAGCATTGTTGCAAATTGTTATTGACAGTTTATTTATGTCTGTTTTTGCCATCCATATTCAAGCTCTTTGAAATTACATCCAGAGGATGCATGAAAATAATATAATACACAAATGTTTGCATGGAGAGAAGTCAAATGAAATGAAAATCAATTTGATTAAATGAAGCGTAATAACATTGAACGTTTTTTTTTTGAATTTTATTTTTGGTTTTTGGTTTGATAAGATGGCTGGATTTATTTTGTAATAAATGCATTTTAAATAGTAATAAGAAGGATGCTATTAGATAAAGCTGTCGATTGGCATTAAAAATAACTACAATTTTAATAGCGGTGGTGAACACTGTTGTTTTTTTAGGACATTGGTTTGATTAAAAGTAAAAAATTGCAAAGAGGCTTTATTATATGTCAGGATTTCTATTATGTTTTTGCATTTCTGTTTAAGTATTTGGTTTTTTATTTATGTAATGTGTTATATCTTTTAATTTATTGTGGTGTAGGATATGAAATTCAACCCAATTCACACATTTAAAACCTCCCATTGGCTTCCTATTTTCATAACAAATTCGGGGCTTTAACTGCACTGCCAGCTTATTATCCTTGGTTGAACTTTAAGCTTTTGCCGCTCGAGCAACACCAGCTGCAGTGAATGCCCAGGCTAATGTATCAGTGACCAGACCACCCACACCATTAGCTTCGACACCCCCGAATGGATGCCCCCGATTCCCCAACTGACTAGCCAAGCCGAAACTACAAATAGCCTTAGTGTCCGAAACACTCGCTACCGATTGCCACTGGCCGGGCCGATAAATAAGCCCAAATTTATCATGAACATGGAGCACACAGGGAGGGAGTCCAGTCCCTGGACTGTCCCATATATCGTGGGACTATAATAGCAATGGCTGCCTCATAATTTTTGGCACCAAATTGCCCGATAGGCGTTGAAGCGTTCAATTGAATGTCGTCTAGCCGAAGACCTTTCCTTCGACCATGTCCATCCACGCCCACTTCCAACGGCACTCCCACCAACTATTGTATAATCAAAACTAATGGTCTATAAAGAATCAATTCTCAATTTGTTTAGCCAGCTGCTGCCCGAATCGAGCCGAGGACCAAACAGGACAATCACACAGGATAATGCTGCAAAACGCTCTTTCCCATTTTGCCAACTAAAAAGTTTTCCTTTCCCCCGGAAGCATTTTCCCCCCCTCCCCAAGCTCTTTGTGCGTGTAACACATGTGACAAATAAAATTTAAATGCATTCTGTAAATAATTTTATATTGGAATTTGTTATTGTTTGGGCGGGAGCAATACGAGGGCTTACAGTAAGTATAATAACTTTGGGAAGGATGTGAATACGGAATTTAAATAAAGGGGAAATATTATTTGAAGGTTATTTAAACCATACTTTAAAGCTGCTCTATAAACATTTGAACTGTAAAGTGTTACGTCTCTAAAACAATATATATTTAACAAGCAAGAACTGTAGTCCGAACAGCGTCAATGGGAACTAATGATTTATTAATTTTCAAACAATAATTTCAAATACTATCCATTAGCCTACCCAACTTTAGCAGGCTTTAAGTCTAATTTCCGCATTGAAAAATTATGAAACCCACTGGGAATGCATATAAATAGCCACCTTATTAGGGATATTTGCACAAAATTAGTTTTCCCCAGTTTGATGCATCGTAAAAACATTGCAGCTGTGATGTGGGGATCGGAATTTTTGATTTGATTGTATTTAGGCAGTGGAGTGTGTGAGCTGTTTGGGGGAGTGGCAGGACGATTGGGGCGGTGAAGCACTGATTCAGCAAATTTGCCATAAAGTTTAATCAGCAGCTTTTGGCAGCAACGCAAAAAAGCTCGTAAAAGACCAGAGATATACTCACATGCGGGGGACCAAGTTTTATGCGCATTTGAGTGACCATAAAAATGCTCCACGGACTTCAGTAAAGTGTCCTTCTAGTGCTGCGAAAAAGCAGGATAACACACAGCATAAATAAGGAAAAACTCAGTGGCTTGGACCAGACATTTTTTCGATGTCTATCGATAAGAAAATTACGCTGGGGCAATTTGGTAAGATTAGCCAAGAAAGTTTCGTGGCACAAAAAATTATACATCCCGAAAAGGAAGAAAATGTAAGACATTTCTACAGAGCATAATTTATCTATGTATCATCATAAGGTTATCTTTCCTATTTTTGGATAGGAGAACCAATTTAGCAAAATAAAATCCACTATCAAATTTAAATGTTTCGTTCATTGGTGTCTAAAAATCAAAGCTCTAAAACGAACACCAGACAAGTCACGTTTAAATGGTTAGCATGGTTTTTGTTACCTATTTTCTCCTTTCTATAAAATAAGTGACCTTTGCCATTGTTTTTTGGACCCACCTCCTTTTTAGCACACAGCATGCAAAGCAAAGATATTTAGGAAATTGCCTTTCGGTGCCTGTGCAAAACCAATTTCATTTAGACTCGCCAGCGAAAAACAACAGCAAAAATTTAAGTGCTGCAGACAGAGAATCGGAATAGGAAAAATTGCCAGGAATGTTGAAAAGAGGAAAAATAGAGCCAAATCTAGGGGGGAATTTTCGTATATTGTAAGGCAGAGCAAACATTTTAATTTGTCCATTATGTTATTTTTGATTTTTCGGCTTTTTCTCTGGCATTTCTGCCCGTACACAGACACAGCTTAATTGAAAATGGTCTGTTCGGCTTGGATTGGGGGACCCTCAAGGGTTGATTACACATTTCTCTTTCACTTTCTCCCCAGAAGTTGAGTCCTGGCACATACACACACTAATTAAATGCCCCCAACAGAAACTTTTGGCTACTAAATGAAATGCTGGCCGTGGTTTCGTCTTTAAATGGCTAAACTTACATGTCGAGTTAGTCAAAAAGTTTAATTTGCCCTTACTTGTACGTCTTGTTCTTGTGTAGTTCTTCCCAGGCTTTTGCCTTGGTGAGTAATTAGTAAAATGCATTAAAATAAATGAGCTTGAGGAGTGGACCGGACAAATGGAAGTCACTCGGAGTAAAGTTACCTGTTTTGAGTGACTGCTCTGGGACTTGGAAGTTGCAAATATTAAATTAAATTCTAATGCATTTTGTTAGAGCAAACTTGTGAGGGTTTTTAATTATTAAAGGGAAGATGTGTTGTTAAAGTTTAAACTCAGCAACCTAATGCGGTCAGAATGAAAAAGCCAAGAAAGCTTCTTTCATTTAGTGAATTGGTAGTCGTATTAATATATACATATACATAAACATATTTTTGATCAGCATCACTACGCCAGTTCCCATTTTCTACACAAACTAGTATATTTTGTAATTTTTGTTCGGCTTTGCAGAAAAGTGTCCAGAAACTGCACTTCAAAGCCCATAACTTTTCTTGCAGACATCCGATTTCAAAAAGTCTTACTTCTAAATGATTATGGTTTAATTCTCTTAAAAACTGTATACTCAGTTTGGTTTGTAATTTTGGGTCGCTATTTCGTCATTTTATAATGCTAACCCCTTTCCAAATTTTCGTAAAAAGGGCTTTCCAGAAAAGTGTCAAAAAACTGCACTTCTCAGCCCATAACTTTTGTTACAGACATCCTATTTTAAAGTGGCATACTTCTAAATGATTGTGGTTAAATTCTCTAAAAAACTGTATACTCAGTTTGGTTTGTAATTTTGGGTCGATATTTCGTCATTTTTTAATGCTAACCCCTTTCCAAATTTTCGAAAAATGGCTTTGCAGAAAAGTGTCCAGAAACTGCACTTCAAAGCCCATAACTTTTCTTGCAGACATCCGATTTTAAAGTGGCATACTTCTAAATGATAGTGGTTAAATTCTCTAAAAAACTGTATACTCAGTTTGGTTTGTAATTTTGGGTCAATATTTCGTCATTTTTTAATGCTAACCCCTTTCCAAATTTCGAAAAATGGCTTTTCAGAAAAGTGTCAAGAAACTGCACTTCTCAGCCCATAACTTTTGTTACAGACATCCGATTTTAAAGTGGCATACTTCTAAATGATTGTGATCAAATTCTCTAAAATTCTGCGTTTAAATCTTTCTTTAAAATTTTTGGTCGATTCTTCGTCGTTTAACTTCGCCTAGAATAAAGGATGAAAAATATATCCTCCTCGAGGCCAAAAGTACATGACAACCTGGACATTTTTAGGGGGGATGTTTGAGGAAGAATAAAGTGGAGACAAAGCGCGAGACATTTCAACAGGCCATAAAATAC